CCCTGCAGGATTTTCCAAGGCCATCATCATCTGGGGACTTCTTTATGTTGAAGATGAACTTATCTTTTTCTAATTCTTGATCTTTTTGGCAGTTTGAAATTTGGTTTCTTTCTTGACCTTTGTTTTTGTAAGAAGGTCCTCTGCTTGTGTAAACTTATAATCAGATTGCTTTACTGAGGTGTTATAGGAAAGAACAGGATCAAAGAGCAGAGAAGGGGAGAAGTTTTTCATAACTTCAGGTTTTGACAATTTGGCAGTTTAATGTACATGAACCTGACCATGGTCTTCCTTCTAACTTAATGTTATTAGCATTTACTTTAGAGTGTGGTTCTTTTATAGATACTCAGGGCTCTGTGGTGACCCATTTTTAAGACTAAGTGAAACTCAATAGCTGTTGCTAAGGGCAATTTTTTTTCTATTGACTAAGAGCAGAGGTGACCTAAAGATGGTATGAAATAGCCCTAGAAGTCCCAGTGTTTAAATAAAAGGGTTAATTTCATGTTTTACATCCTGCAGTCATGTTTTGTGCCAATTCTCCTGTAAATCTCTGTCTGAAGCAGGCACTTGCATGTAGAGGAAGAACTGTCTTCCTACAGGGAACTTTGAAATCCTTAGACTTTGCAGTATTTACTATTTTCTTTGCTCTTCAGATACAGACTAGGCTTATACACACTGACTCTAAAAACGGAATTTTGACTCAGGGAGTGCATAAATTTAACCTGGCTTCAGTGGAGATAATGAGCTTTCACTGAAAGCATGCTCACTATCTGGGTTGAATCAAGCTAAGACACTGCTGGCGCTGGCACAATTGTGGAACAATTGTGTACATGGTGGTGGGCGTGTAGGTGCCATAGTCTGTGGTCTTCAGAGGCCCAGTTGAACTTACATTGAATTTAGCTGTGGCCTTTGACCCATTGTGGCGAAAGGGAAGATTTAGCCACGGTTTAGCAACAATATAAAACTCCCCAGTGTGGGTTTTTGGTGAAAGTTCTGGGTTTGGTTTGTCATGGTTTTTTTGAGTAAGTGTGTATACTATGTGTATTCAGTCCAGTTTCTTGAGTCTAGAATGAAACCTGTCATAATCTCTATGATCTTATCTAAAGAAAAGCTCCAGAGGTTTCTTAGGAGCTTTCAAGTGCAAGTGAACAGTCAAGAACAGGAGACACATGTAGCTAACCATGAAAATGTTTTTTTTGGGGGGAGGGGGTTTAACAGTTTAAAAACTTGCAGGAAGGAAAATACAGGCATCCTCTCTGTGCAACTCTGGCTCTGTAGTCTCACTTGAAACTGTCAGATTGCACACATTTTGTGAATGCCTGAAAAGAATTTTCAAGACCTAGCAGTCTGTATTTACTGCACAGCTACTGAAATGTGTTTCAGTACTGGTTTGTTTTTCAAATACCCATTTATAAACATCACTGACCATCTTTCATTATGAAATGTTACAAATTAATATGGCCTTTAAAATTATTGGCGAATCTGTTCTCTCATGGTAATCAGTCACTTCTAAAGCACAAGCTATAGCATCTAATACATAATTCACTTTAGTAGAGGCAATTATGTTGATTGCAAAATCCATCAGAATACACTGGCTCTAAAAATAAGAGTGTATATGGCAGTCCATATTTAGCAAATTGAGGTTATTAATCAGACCCTGTTCCTTGCATATCATTCATCCACATGGTAAGCATTTTTCAGCATCCTTGTCAGGGAGTGGCAATCAAAGGAAGGTAGGCAGGAACTGAGGTTGATAACAGTGCAAGCAGGAGCAAGGCAGCAGCATGGGCAGGCTACAGGGCTGTTTAAGATATATGTACAACACAGCTCAAGCCTGTGTCAGGGGGAAAAGCTAGGCTTGAGAAAAGCTCCTGGGCACAGGCCTACTGGGTGGAATTACAGCTCCTTGGTGTACTGAGGGCCCTGAGCAGGACCTTTGCGGGATGGATAAATAGGGAACTATATACAGAAATAGAGAGCTTTAGTTGGAGAGCCTTCCTTCAGGCTGTACTGCTTGTGAGACTGTAAAAACACTGTCAACACATGAGATTGGAAAAGTTGACACCATAATTCACTGAAATTCTGGGAGATCCTGACTCTGCTTTGAGAGGAAAATTGATTGACATCCTCAAAGTCCAACTACTGGACAAGTGCAGTTACTCATTTGTGATTTGGTACAGAAAAGGAGCAGTGCCTGTGAAAGGTGGGAGTATCCATATTTCAAATCTCATTGTCCTAAAAGTCAGAAGAACTAAGCCTCATTACTCTATATCTTCAAATAATCTGGCTGAAAATAAGGGTGATTTTCACATTCTTGCTTTCCATCATGCTACTGAATTTTTTACAGATAAACCAAATAATATAATAGAGAGATTGTAAACTGGGAAACACAAATTCCTGAGCTGCTGCCAGCTTTTTGTGGCAGTACAGTTAGCTCTTAAATAGAGGCTCAAACATGCACTTTTATAAGGATGTAATTGTTAGCACATAGCAGTAAATTGAGTCAGAGTAGGAATGTCCTCCAGCACTTTTTTCTACGCTAGTGGATATGCTGTACTTCCCACAATAGTAATTCTTCCTTGGGCCTATTCTGCCTTATTGACAGTGGCACATAGAAACATTTCTGTCATAAGGAATCCAAGCCACAGGTGTTATAACCATTAGGCTTCTCTGAAGGGGAAGGGATCTGGATATTTCAGTTAAAAAAAAAAAGGGATCTGAGGGATAAATATGATTTTTTGAGTCTTGGCCAAGTTATGCTCATAATGAAAACCAAATATCTTTATATGGAGTCTTTACTCTGGATCAGGAGCAAAGAGGGTCATTATAAAACCCTGCAGGGAAAATAACTGCAGTAGAGTTACACAGTGAAGACACAGTATTAAATTAATAATGTGTCAAGCTAATTTGTCTCCTGGTGACTGGTGCTTTTTTCTCCAGTGTTGAAATCTCTGTTGTCTGAAGGTACTTTTTTTGATGACTGGTGCTTTTTTCTCCAGTGTTGAAATCTCTGTTGTCTGAAGGTACTTTTTTTGATGAAACCTATCCTGACAGAAAGATGAGCAGTCAGTTATCACTGAAACAAGAATTTTTGTAGGGGGTAGTACAAAATATAATCCCAAAATCTGCCCACAATGGGACTCGAGAGAGAGCTGAACTAACTAAGAGTGCCTGTACTGGGACTATAAGAATGTGGTTTAAAAGTCTTGATCAAGTGCAGGAATAGGTAGCTTTTTGTGTTTCTCTTCAGGTATTATTAAACTGCTAGACAAATTTTGACCCCTGGAATTCTCAGAACTGTCTACACCACATTTATATGAAGTGTGTATTTTATTGCTATTATTTACAAGGGGTTTAGGATTTTTTTTTTCTCTTGATCGATAAAATAACCAGTTTTGAAGGAAAAGAGGAAAAGGTTTCAAAGTAAAAGAAGCTAAATGGCAATGACTGTCTCTTTCCTCAATAATCTCTTACCACTGTACTGATTGTGAATGCAACCTAGATACAAAGGTCCAAAATTCATCCCCTCATCTTTTTGTGACATTTCAGCATGCATGCCAATGCATTAGTGTAAGTGTGTAATAATATTAAAATTCATGAAAGGTATACAAACTACCTGTCTGCTGTGTGTGACATGGATATATATCTGTCTTTGTAGATTTTGTAGACACAGAAACTGCTTTGGAAACAGAGGGTATATGGGGGGACAGTGAATAGAGAAAGAGACCATGGCTTCTTATGAGAGTGGAAAGTGAAATACTATGAAAGAAAATAGACCAAATAACACAATAAAACAATGCATTAAAATAGAACTTCATTTTACATCAAGGAACACCTTTAATTGGAGGTAGAAGTGCTTGTAATCAATTCAACTAAAAGAACATTCGCTGGAGTGGGTTTGCTTGCATTTGCAGGTGTCTTGTCAGGAATAAATATTTCCATGGAATCTTAAATTATATTTGGGTTGATCACCTTAATGCTCAAAGCTATATCTAAAATGAGCACCTACTTCTTCCTAGTTAGGAAGAATTAAGTTCCTGTGTGAAGTTATTTCCCAGAGAGGCTTTGCTCCTGTAGTAGACCAGCTGGCAGGCAGGGAGCAGGAACATTCCTAAGCACAGCCAGTAACTGTGGGCTCTTTTTGCTGACTGTGGAGACAACAGGTAAGTTAAGGTTTTATTACCTACACTGATCAAAAGATTCATCCATCTCACATGAGCAGTGCTCTGAAGTAATGAAATGGGTAAATATTGCACAATTAGGAATGGTTGCTAAATAGAGTCTATTGAAAATGTACTTCAGCATTTTATTACCAAAGATTCTCTTCTGTCTGAATGAAGTGGAAGATGGGCAGGTCTTCTGAAGGATTTTTTGATTCAGAAAATGAATGAAAGAATTTTTTTTTTCCTCATATGCAATAGATGACACTTTTTTTTCCCCCCCATTTTTTGGTCTCACGTTATTTTCTTGTTTAAGTATTGATTGTAGCAGACTAATCTGTATGAGACATGAATTTTATCTGGATTTATATTTTAGCTGAAATCCTCTTAGGCTGAAAGTTGGTGTTTTCTAAATATAGAGTAAAAATAAATAAAAACATGTATTCATGTTCTTAAAAACAGGTTTAACTAATACAGCAGCAGCTCCTGTTAAAACTTTCATGTCTTATTATTTATACACAGTTTGAAAAATGTCTTTGCCATTTTTCTTTAATGTGCTAGTTCCCTGGCCATTAAAAAACCCTGACCTCAGGTACCTCATGAATTTTGCACATGATGTCTGTTGCATAAAGCAGATTTTATTATTATTTAATGAACCTCTGTATCTGATCCATCATTTCAGTTACAATACTGGTAGCATTGATCCCACATTTAAAGCTTTCTAGAACAAAGGGAGAAATCAAACCAAAAAAGCTAGCTTTAAACCAGACATGATGCTTTTATTTCTGCTCTGACATGTTTGTGAGACAGTAGTAAATTCTGTGTTATTTTATTCTGTTCCAGCTGTTTACCTCTGCAAGCGGACAATGCAAAACAAAGCAAGACTAGAACTAGCAGACTATGAAGCTGTAAGTACCTGGCAAAAACCACAAATTTTTCTGCTGGGCCTAGTAAGCCCATGAAATAATGTTGAGCATGAGAACTATGGGCATTATGTGTGAAAAGCTATTAGTTATCCAGTTCTTCCAGCTTGTGGGTCTAACACTGCTCAGTAGTCTTAAATGGTTTTTGAGACATGATAGTGAAGGCTCACTGGACAAATGTTGAGATTACAGCCCATTTTTAATCTTATTCTGTTCAGATCCTCATGTCAGGATCACAAATACCTTCACAAATCCCAGCTACACCATGAGTGTTTGGAAGCAGTTGTTCTCAACACCATTTAAGGTTTGAACAAAGGATCCTGAGAATATTTCCAAAAGCCCTTGATAGATGTGGAAATGTAAATCTCATCCTTTATAAGTGATGCTGACACTTGAGCCTTTTCCCATCAGCTAGATGAGAGGCAAAGAGGGTCAGACTCGAGGCATGCCTACTCCCTGACAGTTGTGCTGTGCCTTGGGCAAGGTAAGACAATTGGGACGAAGAAGAGCCTGAAAAGGAGGGGTGATGATGAGGTGATGATTAGCTGATGAGGATGGCATTAGATAAGGAGAGAGATGTCTTGAATCCAGACTTGAATTCCCCAAAACGTTCCTGAATTTTTCATGACCATGTCAACATAAAATTCACTAACAACCTTGTCTCTGTGCTGAAAGCTGTCCAGCTGTGCTGCTGTGACCTGAGAGCAGGATAGTCAGCCAGACCTCTCAACACACCAGATACTCCAGCCACAGCACCATGCTGAGACACTGTATTGCTTCTTCTGGCACAAGCTTGTTTTTCAGTGTACTGCACTGTGGGATATGCATAATTTTATACTCACATGCCTTAGAAAACTCCCCTTCAGTGTACAATCCATGAGAGCCTTTTCTAGTATTGACAAGATCTCTAGAAAGTCTGCTCTTCTCTTTCTGTAGTCTTTATTTTTGGTAAACATGGTACAGAGATACATTTGCAATGCATAGAAATATAGTAAAATCAACACATTTTTGTTAAGACTGCATACTGCTGCTGTTTAAGGTGGGAAGAGATTTAAAAAGGAGATGGTGTTGGAGACAGTGAAAATGTTCCATCATCAATGGAAGAAAGAATTTTGCAATTATTTTATAAAATTTCTTCCTGTTATTATTAGTTGGCTGTAGAATAGATACATTTCCTGTACACTATTGAAGAACTGTACTCTGTATTTTTAAAAAAGAGGATAGCTGTGGAGGTTTGGCTATACTACCAAAAATGGCAGCCAACACTGTTCAGTGGAAACCATTTGCATAGATGACATTTGAGGAATTTTCACATTGATCATCCAGTATGGAGATAACTGCTGTTATTTTGCATTATTACATACTTTCAAACAAGGATGTTTCTGTGTACTATTTCAAAATTGCTAAGATAGCACACAGTATATAAAAATGTTTCAGAAATCCCATGTTCTGCTGAAGGATGCATCTACCCTTTTTATCAGTTTCAAAACTAAAATAGTCGAGGCGTTCAAAAGTATTGCATCCCATTTGGTGTCAAGAAAAAACTTTATATCAGATAAGTAAGGTCCATTTACACCGACACAACTATCATGACTTGTATTACATCATGGTGAGGGTGAGGAGAAGAGAGGAGGGAAAGATAAAGCCAGAAGCTATTAAAGAGTAAGTAACCTGCAATCTAACCCACTAAAACTGTGATGTATTTTCAGGAGAGTTTGGCCAGGCTACAGAGAGCTTTTGCTCGGAAATGGGAGTTTATTTTTATGCAAGCTGAAGCACAAGCGAAGTAAGTTCCTTTGGAGATGAGCAGTTTTCTTTTTGCATGCTTTTTGAAGGGAGTGGAGGAAAAGGGGTTGGACACATTTGATGTTTAAAATTACTGTCCTCTATGCTGTTTCTTTTAAATATCCTATGACACCGACAGGGTTGACAAGAAGAGAGACAAGATAGAGAGGAAGATTCTTGACAGTCAGGAGCGAGCATTTTGGGATGTGCACCGTCCTGTGGTGAGTGCTGGTGGGGCTGCTGGGTCCATGAGCAGGATTGCTGATAAATGTCAGCTTCTGTGGAGCTTTGGGGTAGCCTGGGGACAAGAAAAGAGCAGTAGGGCAAGGGGTTAGGGCTTGATTCCCTCTTCTAAGGATCTAGAGTTTATATGAATCTGATATTGTAGACTTCAGGTGTGTGTGCATCCAAAAGTTCATGATTTTTAGTGAATAGATGTGTTGTGCCTGGTTTCTTGAATCAGAAGGTACCTGTCTTTGCTTATTATCATCTCAAAGATTTCCTGGGGTATGAGTCACACAAACGAAATTATCAGCGTAACTAAAAATACCCTTAAATAATTCTGACTATTTTTCTTTTTTAGTCTGCTTTTTTGCTTGCTAAGCCTTTTAACTTCACTCTAGTTACATTTCCAAGCTATTTTTGAAGTACATAAAGATATTGGCTTTCAACTATGGGAGTCACACACTGTCTAAACAAGGTTTTTCTGAGTTCTTTCTCAAAGTCCATCTGAAACAAAACTTTAAAAAATAAAGTTTCTTACATACTCAACTGTATTTGAGTGCTAGAATTGTGAAAAAGAATGTCAATTGTTACAATAATTCAAATTAAACTGTACTGTATTTTTTTTCATTACTACAGATCAATATTGGTTCCCCTTACCTAGAGTTAAGCTTTCCTTTTCTGTTTATGAAGTTTGGTATCATTACCAATGAAGTCACACATGAACTATATCTTCTGCTCTGACACTGGGAAAGCTACTTTTAGTGGGGGAAGTAAAATTAGGTGATGATGTGTGTGGAAAAGTAGAATACAATGAGAAAGTTTAAATAAAAAATAATAAACTTGAACATGGTCAATAGTATCAGTATTAATGTGAAAGATTCCAACCACAGGAAATAGATGCAAAAAGACTGAGACATTATTGTCTAATCACTGACATCAAGGAAGGAGAACAGAAAGCAATTTTCCATCTGATGTAGATTGGAGCTACATAGGGAATAAACACAAAATATCTGTGGACCTGGGACCTGTGAAGGCGCAGAGTGCTTTTATATTTGCTGCAGAAATGGATCTAAAGGTTTTGAATCTGAGAATGTTATTTTCAGGTTTGGAAGAGATGAATTGTGGAAACATCAAGAGAGTAAAAGGGACCAGGACAAGAGGAAATTGAATCTGATTAAGAGCTTTGGCTGAACTGTGGATAAATCTGCCTGGTCCAGCAGATGTTTTTAATCTCACTGTAAACATACCTAGGAAATATCAGAGGCAAAAGACTGGCTTACAGTCAGCAATGTCGGCTTCTGGCTTTAGAAGATATAAATGGAAGAATGGAGAGGTTCATACTTTGGCTACACTGCTACTCTCAAGAGTCACTGAAATAATATTTTTGAAAACACCATAATGAATTTACTGTCGCAGTAAAAGCGAGAAGCTTCTTTTGAAAAGAACAAAAGATAAAACACAAACAGACTGAAAAGGGGAGGGTGATGGTAGAGCTAAATACAATTTGTAATAGATTTTCAAGCTGCCCAAAGGCCCCCCAAAAACTTACGAATGACTGCTGCAATGCTGAACAGCTAAATTTTTTAAATAGTTTTATAAGGTAGTGTTTGGATGAGAATCTGTGTATAATGCTTATTTTTATTTACAGTGCTTCACCTTCTGATAAAGGTTCAGAGGGTAGGGGCAGTGACAACACGGTTCAAAATCCACTCCAATGTTATTATTTTTTTTTACTGAAAAGAAGTTTTGAGGATCAAATGTTTCATTATTTTTGGTTGGTTGGTTGGTTGGTTGGTTGGTTGGTTGGTTGGTTGAAGGTGAGTAAATAAATATTTTTTCAGGGTATTCTTGCAGGTATCCTGGTCCTTAGTTGCTTTATTGTTTATTTGTTACCTGCCGAGCTACAGTACTGATACAGAAGATTTACATGTGAAATATAAACTATGAATATTAAATTTGAATTGTATTTTGACTTTACGTTTATGAAAGGAGCAGAAGAGGGAAGCAAGCCATCATTCCTAAAGAACAGGGCAGCAGTGCACTACAGGAATGTGAGACATGAGAACAGCTGTATGGCAGTGGAGCCAGGAAAATGGTGATGCAGAAAAAGAGGTTGATTAGGTATCAGAAACATCACTGTGACTCACAGGTTTAAAATAAAGGAAATGAACCAAGGTTGGACATGTAAAGAGAATTTGCCTCAAAAACCAGCGTTGTTTCTTGGCTCCCAAGTCAGAGGCAGCCCTGCAGGTGATTACAGAAGTTCTAGAAGATTTGTGCTGAAGTCTGAGGAGCAGACAAATTCTTGAAAGCCATCATGACTGTTACTTTTGATTGGCTGGCCCATAATTTTTTCCTAGGTCTTCCAACTGAGATGATGTTTGGAAATGAGGCAGAGGAATTGGATTTGGAAAGTTTTATTCAAATAATCATCTATTCCTCATTTTTCTTCTGAGAGACAGTTTAGAGAACAGCTTTATTATCTCACTGTTTAGTTTCCATTACAATTTTTATTTAATTGTTGTTTCCCTGTGGGGGTATTTTGGGTTCTTATGGGGTGGGGGGGAGTGAGAGTGGGGGCTGTTGTGTGTATTTCAGGAGCACAATCTCGGTCACTTCTGTAAATCCCAATTTCTGCTTTATGTAGAAATATCTTAGATTGAAGTTAAAAAGAGTATGGCTGAGCTTCTTGTAGATAACTGCAGCTTGCAGAGACGTTCCCAAACAAGTTTTAATTTCACTTGTTCAGATACCAGCCATAGTAAAAGCCAAGTATCAAGGAGAGCTGTAAAAACTCCCTTGCAATCCTGAGTAGCAGGCCTAGAATAAAATCTACGCTGTTATTTCTAAGGTAGAGCTAGTATCTGACATAGGTCTGAGATTAGTATTATTCACATATAGTGACGCATGTCCTTTTTGATGACAGAGTAAACATATCTTAGAAACCTTTCTCTTCTTTTCACCTGCTTAGAAAGAGTATTATTTTCATAATTTTGAAACTTCTGTTGATAACAGACTGTGTAAATAAGCAAAAATTGGTTAGGAGGATCAAGGTGTTAGTCAAAAACAATAATAAATCAAGCTAAATTGTGGAAGTGAGTTACTTCCAGGAGAAAGAAATTGAGGAGCTGCTTTTATTCAAAAAGCAATGTTGCACTCCTCATTAAAGTCTTTGAAAGAGAACTTGTTTCAGCTTTCCTGAATTATTATCTCTTTTTAAACCCCATAGTCTTACATTTGTTAAAAAAGGACAAATGGGTACTAAAGCAGTAAATCCCCTAAAATATTCTCATACCCACGCTGAATTCAGTCAGAGCTGTGGCTTGCCTTAAAATTAACTCTTTCAGGTAACAAGCAAGACAAATGATGTCTTGCTGCTACAAATTATTCACTTTTCTTCCTGAGATAATACATTCATGCAATAAAAAAGGCCTTTTGGATACTTGCTGAGATTCAGACTAATTCAGAAGATAATGGGAGAGGTATCTTTTCTTTTGAAAGTCACCTGTATACTTTGTAGCTGCAAAAACTTGAAAAAGCATTTGATTTTCTCCAAGGCCTCTCTGACCTTTGCCGTCAGTCTGTGCTGGTTGTATTACAGACACATTTAGCAGGTTTCTGTGCAGTTGCTTTTAAAATAAAGATGGGAAATATGCAACAGATGTACTAGAAAACTGCATTGGTGTGTGTCCCTCTCCCAAGTTTAAACACTGTCTATGGTTTAGTCATAGTGTGATTTGATAAAGTATGAGCATGAGTCAAAGTATGAGCCAGTTCTTCCATTCTGCCTTTTATAACTTGGTTAAACCAAATCCACAGGACTTCTATTCCCATTTCTGGACTATGGTGATTATTTTGGCTCTTTGGGAAAAAAATGGATATAAAATATTGATAAAGGTCAGACTTAATGACCTTCAAAATCTGTTCCAACTTGGATGATTCTATGATTTTATGAAAAACAACAGCAGTATTTGTGTGATTTAATACAGGTCAGCAAAGTATCTGGGGTGAGTATGTCTAGTAAGGATAAGCAGTAAGATTTAAAGCAAAGGTGGGTTTATGATAATTCACTGTTGTTGTAAAATTCAGAAATCTGTATAATTTCTGGATTTGGGTGTTCCTTGCCATTGTTTCCTAGTACCTAACTAGGAAAACAGTGTTCTTCAAATATTTAAAACTTTGTCACATGTTCCACACCTTTTGCTTCTCTCTCTTTTATGAGACTCTATGTCCATTAATTTAATTTTCTCTGTTTATTTTTTAAAATTGTATTTTATGTGGTCTGAACATGACCCTTGACATCTGACCTGGCAGGTAACATTACCAGGTGTTGTGGGCCAGGCAAGGGGTTCTTTTGTATTTTAACAATTATTTCATCCTGTCCTTCAAGATCAGGCTCAGAGACTTGTCAAAACGGTGAATTTCCCTAGGATAAGATGGTGCATGCCTGCCTTTCACACTCAGTACTAGTCTTTTCTGGGCCAGTCACTTGTTTAGCCAGAGAACCCTTCTCTCTACTTTTTCATATTATTTTCTGAATATTTTTAAACAGCTTCAGAAGGCAAATGTGAATCATGCCATCCAACTTCTCTGGTGATATATAGACACATAATTTTCATGTCTTCTTTTTCACCTGTTTGACCACATATCCTTACAAGCAGACAGGGAATGCAGCCAAAACAGAAATTGTCATTCTCAGATAATTGCCCTTCTAGTAATGAAACAAAGCCTCATGCAATGTTTTAATTTCAAAAAATGGTTATAATGTTTGTGATCCATACTTGCACGTAATTAAGGCACATATTTATAAACCTTCTAGCTGGCCTGCTAAGACCTTTGTAGAAGATTTAGTGCTCAGATTATTTAACATTTTATTTAGTCTAATACTTGAGTAGAGGTGGGGCAGATGGGGAAAAAGAAGCCAAGTTTCTTGCAACAGTGTGACAAAATGAATTTTTGGAAGTTAAAATTAAGAGGTCACAGGTTGTGAAAAAGT